TATATATATATATGTGTGTGTGTGTCTATGTATATATTTAATAATAAAACATAATAATTATTATTTGACATTGACTTATATCAATTACAATTCCCGATGCATTCAACACCCCCTATTGGGGGTGCCATTAGCACTCCCCTTAGTTAAAAGCAATACGAAGAGAAGAGAGACAGCGTTAATTAAGGTAAGCGGTCAAAGGTCTCTTCAACTCTTGAAAACCTAATGATTGGGGCCCACACCTTCCCGCACTCGAATGCTAATCTCTGTCTGCCCACCCTTTGACTTCGTCCCATTTCTCATACCCCCAATATTTTTGGTTTTATTTTTGTTTAATTATTAAATTTGTTTCGCCAGTATTTTATTTTTGTTTTTCTTTTACAAAATTATACTTATGAATTAAATGTATAAAATAACTACTTCGTTTCATAAAAAATATATATTATAACATTTTTTTATTATTTTTTATTTTTTTTATATACTTTCAAATTATTTTTTAGTAAGATATCACATTTTAAAAAATCTATCCATTATTTAAAATAACAATTTTCCCCTATCGGCTTTCTCTTGTCTGTGATCCCCTTATTTATCGCAGATTATCCTCCTCTATCCGTTCACCTTTTCGTCTGCTTAAAATTATATAGAAAAAGAGGGAAACTGAACTTACCACGATAGTAAGAAAGAGGCTACTGATGGGTGTTGATGAGTTGAACAACATCTTCTATAAGCATGACAAATTCATAACGAAAATCAAAACGACCCAATCCATAAGCATGGCATCGGTGAGTTGAAGAACATCTGTAATAACCATGCGATTCAATTTATGAATTTTTTTCGAGAGATCCGATGTATAATTTTTATAAAGTTAAATCATTACTGAACGATTAAAATATAGTAAAAATGTGAATCAAAATATGCATGAAAAAAAGAACTTGGATTTAAAAATTTCAAATTAAAATTATAAAAAAGTAAATTTATTTAATTCATTTGATTTATAGAATTCACTCAATTAGTTGATTATAATTGTTTTATTAAAATAATACAACAATATAAATATATTTGAGAAAATCATCAAACTTGTTATGAATAACTAGAAAAAAAAAATAGAACAGGAAGAATAACTCCGTAATTCTAGGCAGGGGAATGGGGCGGGGACCTTAATCCCCATCCCCGATTACTTATCTCTATCCCCGTCCTCGTTCCCGTCCCACCATGAAATATAATCACATCCCCATCCTCAATGGAGATTTTTTTTTCGTTTATGTAAATTATTTTAAATTAAATATGTGAGTGATCATACATGTTTAAATCTCAAACATTTCTAATAAACCTAAAACTAAAATGAATTTATTTTGATAAAAAAAACACAATATCATATAAAAGAACTAATAACCTAAAACCAAAAAAATTCAATTTAATCCAAAAAAAACTTAAAGTCATATATACAAAAAAGATATTGAATAATATAAAACCATATCGAGTAATATACAGAACTTATCGAATAATTGTATTTTGATTTGACATCCAATATATTACATATTAACATCCAAAAAATAACAATTTTAGATTATAAACCTAGTTAGAAAATATAAAATTATGAATTTCAGTCTTAGTTAAAATAATATATATATTATTTATTAATTAATATATATAACGGGTACGGGACGGGACAGGGAGTACCATACCCGTCCCCGGTTTGAGACAAACAGGGGTCCCCGTCCCCGATTTAGCGGGGAATCCCCGTCTCCGGCTGGGGCGGGTGGACCGGGTTCCCCGATGGGTCGGAGTCCATTCTCATGCCTATATAATTCTCATAGATATTAGTTATAATATATCTCTAATATGTTTATTTCTATCTAAATCGTGATATCTTTTGACAACAAGAATAACTAGAATGCAAATGTAAAAAATTATGAAAATATAACATTCATTTTATTTTAAAAAATAATATACGAGTATGTGATAGGGACAAAACAGTAAATATGGGTATATGGGAATTTTTTAAAATCTGTGATGTCATAATAACGCCAGGTCAATAATCCATGTATAACTGATAACAACTTATATGAGCCGTTAGATAATCACCCTCACCAGCAATCCCTAACCGTTAGATCATCTCTCTGGACACACTCTGGGAGCCTGATCTAATCCCTGTGCAAACTCCGATCTTCCTTAAATACCTTCCGACCCTCGCCTTTATTCTATCATCTTCCTCTTCCATTGCCGGAAAATTCGCCATGGCTGCTGAACCACCTACTGATTCCACAGCTCCAGTTACATATCCAGTTCTTCCGCCATATCCTGAGGTAAGATATAACTTTAATTCCTCAGTTTTCACAAGGGTTTTGTAAATTTCAAGTAATTTAACCGATTTTGCAATTTGCTTCGATGCTTTCATGTGGATGGAGCTTAGTTCGACTTAATTTTATAGATTTAGATCCGAAAATTTCAGTTGGTTTTCTAAGTTGGAGCTTAATTTTACCGAACTTTTGTGTTTTTGTTATTTTAATGCTCAAATACTGCATTTTAGCCTAAGATCATGAGCTTGAGCTTGATTGCTGATTTGAGGTTTTGTTGATTATTGTGGGATTTAATTATTTTCACATGAATTTTGTGGGATTGAGGTGAATTTATGACCTGGGTTTTGTTCATTTTGGTTCTTTCTGTACTGGGTATCTTTTAACTTCTATGGATTTTGCTTAATTTCAGTTGATTTTATCTGCGATTGAGGCTGTAGATGACAAAAATGGAGCTAACAAATCGTCGATTTCGAAGCAAATCGAAGCCACCTACGGCAGCCTTCCGGCGGCACACTCAACCCTCCTTTCACACCACCTTAACAAGATGAAAGCTAGTGGCCAACTTCTCATCATTAAGAATAACTACGTTAAACCCGATCCAAACGCGCCACCGCGACGAGGCCGAGGCAGGCCGCCGAAACCCAAGCAAGATCTCCCTGAGGGTGGCACAGTCGCTTCCTCACCAAGACCCAGAGGCCGTCCGCCCAAACCTCGTGATGATCTTCCTCCGGTCTCAGCTCCCAAAGAAGCTGCTCCGTCAGTTACCGGCCGGAAACGTGGCCGTCCTCCGAAGTTGGGAAAACCTGCAACCACTGCTCCAGCAGCAGCAGCAGCAGGTGGTGAACGAAGGGGAAGGGGACGACCGCCTAAGGTGAAAACACCGACAGCTGCTCCGGTTGGGGCTTAATTGAAAAGAAAATTTAGTTTTAGGGGCATTAGTGTTAATTGTTATTTTACTTTTGTTTTAAAAAAGTACCCTGTTTTTAGAACTTCTTTGCATTGAGGTCGGCTATTGTTTGTTAGTGAGTGTAATTGCCATGTATATTTGAATTCAGTAGCTTTTTAGGCTCATTGGGTCTCTCTCTTTTCTTTTTTTAATTTGAATTTTTGTTTATCAAAAAAAAAAAGTTAAATGAAAAATGATTGTTTTTATATATGTTTTATATTGAATTTATGTAAAATCACATCTGATTTATAGTTATTGTGTGTTTTACTTTTAAATCTAATATATATATTTACAAGGAAGTAGGCGTGTTTGCAGTCCTGTTTAGATGGTTTAACCTCTCAAACCACAAACCAAATCGTAATGTCGGTTTATGAAATGTTCCAAAATGAGCCGTTTGGAAGCAATTGACCCAACTGCTCAAATCGGAACACATAAAAGCAGTATGGTCTTACCTATTTAGACAGTTTGGACATATTATGGGCTTTAAACTAAAAAACACGTCATCTATCTCCAAGATAAAATTCTACCAATATGACATCATTCGAAAAAAATACTATACCATATTATAAAAGAAACATTTATCTCCAAAATTAAAAAAAAAAACATTGTGCAACGTGGAGAAAAAGTGTTAAGCAAGTCCACCAACAACAGTTGAAATTTTGAACAAATATTGAGCAAGTTGAACTATTGAAGAATGATTTGGACCGAACCGACAAACCCCTGAAACCATATAAAAAGGGTCTAGTTTGACCTGGTTCAATTGATTTGAGCCGTGCGATGATTTTTTTGAACACCCCATACAAGGAGGCTTCTAGTTAAACAAAGATTAGAAGTGTATGGATCCTAGTGGAATATGTTTGTCCTTCTTCGATCTTTTTTCTTGACTCTTCTCTAAGGTTTCGTTATTCCCTTGATTGATCCGGAATGTTTGGATTTCCGAAGAACCTTCTAGTAGGAAATGACATTATGGTTGATAAATATGACCAAAAACGGTCGTTTAACATTTTATTACTTGTTAAATAATATAAATTCATGTCATACAGGAATAAAATTATCTAGTTTTTACTCTTACATTTTAGTTGTTGGCCATATTTATTAAACTAGCTATTATCTGAAAATATAATGACAAACTAATGATATTTGGTAAAACTAATGGGCTTTTTACCAAACACTTATCGGGTAAGCGCTTACCAAGTAACATTACCTCACTGCATTAATATGGTAAAGACCAAGAATCTTACGCGGTAAGAGCGAGACAAGGACCAAGAGTCTTACCCGGTAAGTGAGGGCGACGACTCTTACCATGGTAAGCGCTTACCAGGTAAATTGTTAGCTGAACTGCAATAATGCCTGGACATTATACACAAGAAATATCTATCGATGACGAGGGAGACTTGTTTCCATCAAGGTGGTGAGAAGCCGGGAACACAAAAGTATTGCCACATAATGATGTTATTAGATTACACCTCAGATTCATGTTTTAGTGCACGCCTATGCATGGTGCACCTCAAACCCTCATATACCTTTTACTGTTTACTTCAAAGAGTTTAACCTCAAGTACTCTTGAACCTCAGTGCCTACTCATTAATCTAGCCAAGTTCCACAGTAAGAATCCCATTGGACCTTTATCATCTACTTGCTAGCAATTCATAAAAGTCAACTCAATACAATTGACTTATCAACTCACTTAATCCTCATGCATAAGGATTAGGATATAATATCACCAAGCTTCCACAATTATTAACATGTACTCCACATAATGTTTGTACGTAACTCCTCTTTGATATCAATATATTATTATTTGATACTAGAAGCGTACTCGCGCAATGCAGCGAGATACATCGTGTTTTTAATATTTTATTTTATTATTTATCTCAGTCGATGTTATAATATGGCTTT